CTTTCATCCGAAACAGACGTGCATAGTATTTTTATGAAATATAACTTACGTCTTAAGTTTTGTTTTTTTTCAAAAGGAAAAAAATGTTTTAAAATTTTCACTGCATATCATATTTGCTTCAAATTAATATAAAATGTTCTTTTATTTGAGTAATTAACAAAAAAGGTAGGTTCATCATCCAACTATAAATTTTTTTTGGTTACTTTAAATTTTAAAAGTATATTAAAACACGATAAAACTGCCGTAGTTTTTTTATTTTCTTTTTATTTCTTCTCCGCTACATTTGGTGCCATAAAAACAAATCCTATTTTTTCTTCTCTTTTCACCTTCTCCGCTTACTCTTAAAACAAACTATTTGCGGTCAACAACATTTTGACTGTCGTAATTCTGCCTTTATATTTACATTAATAAAACAATTGAAACGATGAAGGAAAAAGGAAATAGGAATAGAAAAGTGGAATTTTTGATATTTGAACTACATGGAAACTGTTATTTGAATAAACAATTCTACCGCCCCCTCCCCTAACATGTTATCAATCGATACCGCAAACTATTTATGACGTTCAGCACATTTAACTACTAAACTTCAAATAACATTCCAAAAATTTTCTTGTCAACAGCACCCAAGATTGACTTAAATGGCTTAAGAATGAAGCTTTAAAAGTATTTAGGGTTTAGCAGCCATTTAAAGATAGAAAAATCGAAACCGTATCGATTTGGAACCAGTGTTAATATGGTGTTGGAAAAGAACCCTAACTCTAACAGTGGAGAGCGGGGAAGATTAAAATGTTGATCGTCGAGTTGTAAAGATGATGTGATGATTTCACTTAATGACGCTACAAATGATGAACAACGAGGATATTGCTGTAACACTTTGATCTGATCAGACTCAAATGGCGTTGTCAAAATAACTTTAATGCTGCTCTACGGTCTAGTTTCGCGGTTAAACATTGCCCAATAATGTCAGCTGAACAATTTGTCCGGCATACTCCATGTACACAGTGCTGATGCCAACTAAATCGACAGATACCTACCCGGAATTACGCAAAGGAAAAAAAAAACATTAGATTAAAAAAAAGGGAATTACTACAAAACAGCTGCTAAGAAAATTTTTTCTGCTGGTCTTTTAAAACAAAAAAGCGCACATTGTCATTAAAAAAACGTAAAGTAAAGAAACAACGTAATTCCTGGAGATGATCATAATTGCCTCCTTCTAGAGCAATAATCTTCAAAATGGTCAACATTTCTTCTTTGGAAGATATGTAAATTGCCACGGAGAAGCCTTCTAATAATAGACGAATACTTTGGAATTAACGGTTGCTTCTAAAAGTTGCGACATATTTTAAGAAAAGCTTTACGAAAAACGTCTAATGTAATTCCCAAAACTGTCCTGCTTCCATATTTTTCGATAAAAAATTTTAATGAAAATAAACTGTTATATACACGACTGTTGTCCACATATGGCTTAAAAAAGATAAATTTAAATACAGAAATAAACATTGATACAGGGAAAAGGAAGATGAAGATAAGACTTCTTTCCAAACGAAGAAAATTGTCTAAAAAAGTTTTAAAAACAATATTTGAAAGAATAAAGACAACATACTTTAAGCCTCTTATCTATCAGTTTCAAAACCAAGGAACAAAACTATATTAATAGTATGAATTAAAAAACACAAGTTCTGTCCAAAACAGCACTTTTTTTTTCTTTTTGATATTATAAATTGCAGAATCCAGCCGTAATCAAAGTGTCCCAGGCAATACCGCAATATGTCATTCTGGAACTGCTGCAAAGTTACATAAATAAAATGTTCAGTAAAAAAGCAGAAGAGAATTTGTAAACTTAATTATTTATTAGATGTTTCCCACTGGCTGTTCAAAAGCTCCTAAAACTTCTGTAATTGAAGTGAAACTGGACAGAACAATAAGAAGATCTGGGTCAACTAGAAAAAATGCTGTAATAAAAATCCAAGCGAATTAATTGCCTTAAATTTTTTGATCCGTGAAATTCCAACAAGATTTTTCGCAGCAAAACTCATAGCTTACAAAATCTTTCTTTCGATAGCAAAGTTCCCTGACAAAATTAAACAGGTTATTTCCTTAATTTTATTTACTCACATTTTTCTCAAAAAAAGTAAAGTTGAACAAAATCTATGGTTACATTGATTACATCTTTCAGAACATCTCTTATTACTTTAAAAACCATAAATAGAAAGCTAATTAGTCAGGAAGAAGAGGGAAAAGCTAGTAGATCATGAGATGTAAAATAACACAATTATATATTGCTTCAACCAATAATTGTGTTCAACAAAAAATGTACACTTCCGCAACTTCGTCTATTCAACAAACAGTAAGTTTGGAGGCAAAAATATCAAAAATATCGTTTATGTTGTTCCACGAAATGACGTCGTATTTGTTGACAAAACCCAATAGTTGAATGAATAAATGATTGGTGTTTTGTGATGATACGACGACCAAATTCACACTGTTTTATCAATTAAGAATTTTCTACTTGAACAACAGAGTGACGACAACAAACCAACTAAGACATTAGCGAATAT